TAGGGATAGCAAGTAGAACAAGAATTTCTGTTGTTGTTGTTGTTGTTGTTTGGGGGGGTGTAGTTTACAGGGGAGAGGAAGGTAAAAGGGAGATGATGTCAAGGAACCCAGAAAGAAATAGTATATTTGGAAACTGATTATGGAAGTGGTTGTACAATTCTGCTTGGCATGACTGAACAATGCAAAGACATGACATTTGTGTCAACACCTAGGCAATAATACATTTTAATAAATATAGATCCAGGAATGGGTGTTGGGCTTACACTAAATCCTAGCTCCAACGTAAGAACAATTAGTTCTTACATCATGGCCCTGCTCAATACTCGCCCTCGGGAAGGGAACACGGAGGAAATGGGTGCCATGGCAAAATGCAGCGAAGAAATTAGATGGTGCCCGGTATGGGGTCTTAAAGACCTGTCTCCACACAAGCAGATATCTAAGTGAGATGTCAACTAAGTCCACATGGGAGAAGCACACCATCATCAGTCACCAAAGGATTGTGAAGCATATAATCTAAAGTCTAAGGAGGCATTAGCATCAGAGCCTAAAGGGTGAGGTTCTGATTTTCAGAAGGCTGTGGATGACAGTGGGAGCCCAAGATCCATTTGTGGAACTACATAGGAAATAAGCCTCCAGTAAGCTCCCTCTACCCACAACTGAGGGATAGGAGGAAAGGGGTTACTAAACAGACAACATTAGAGAGTTGAGTATAGAAAACTCAGAGGCATAAATCTGACTTGCTCAGTTAAAACTTTGTCAGGAGATCCCTCCTATGACGAATGATGGACCCATTTGAAATTTGTTCTAGTTTTTAATATTTTCTGCTTTCAATTGAGGTTTTCCTTTGTTTTATTTTGTTATGTTGTTGGGGGGCGTTGTTGTTATTTGTATATTTTGGGGGTAAATGAAATCCAAAATAGGTAAATCTATAGAGACAGTAAGTGGTTTAATGGTTTCTTGCAGGTATGGTAAGGGAAATTGGGGGGAAATGGGGAGTTAATAGCAATGAGTTCAAGAAAGAAGAAAATGTTCTAAAATGGATTGTGGTGATGATCGTACACCTCTTTTCAATATAATTGAACCATTTAATTGCATGATATATGAATTGTATACTAATAAAAGTGTTTTTAAGGAAAAATAATAATCCTATGGAACAGTTTTACTCTGCAAACATGGGGTAGCCATGAGTTGGAATTGACTTACTGGCGAAATGACCGATCTTAATGCATTATATGCCTTCTTATGACTATACCTCAGTTTATACAGCCTTCTCTTGTGTTGGGGCTTAAATTCTAAGCATTAAGCTTGCAGAAGCTACAGTTTATGGTGTGAACCCTAAATCCCTTGATTTTGACTCTCCACATAGATTCCACGTCCATTGCTTTCTTTCTGAACATTACTGGGAATGTAACTAGCTTTACCTTAAGGTAATGTGTTTAAAAGTGAAATGCTAACTCCATTAGCCAGCCTAGGGAGGGACAGTCTGGCCCTTAGGGATCTGCCTGAGTTGCCCTTGATGGAATTTGGAGTACTAGGGTTTGCTTATTCATAAATTATATCCTGACTGCCTTTATCAGAGGACCCCTAACCAATCTTGTAAGGCTTTCCATCTGAAATGGTGTGCATATCCCAATCATGGTCCCTTCCCCCACCTCTGAAGTCCTGCCTGCAACTGTGATAAATTGATCTGCCACCAGTCATCATTTTGTGACACTTTCCTATGTTCTAGACATCCTTTTTAAGTGGCCAAATTCTATGAAGACTTGTACATCACTATGGCCTCCTGCTGAGGGTCTCCCTCATCTGGGAGATTTGTATTTGTCTTGTTTTTGCCCTGGTGAAAGGGGAAAAAATGAGGAGATGATGCCAGGGGCTTAAGTGGAGAGCAATGTTTTGAGATCGATGAGGGCAACGAATGTACAAATGTGCTTTACACAATTGATGTATGTATGGATTGTGATAAGAGTTGTATGAACCCCCATTAAAATGATTTTTAAAAAAGACTTAATAAATATCTCTCAATAAATTGTTTGGGCTCTCTATTCTACCCCTGAAACACCCCTGTTAATAACCTCTCAAGGTATTTTCATTCTTAACTATAAAATACAACACGGAAATAACCCTTTTTAACATTGTATTGTATTTTAGGTGAAAGTTTACATAGTAAATTATTTTTGCAATCACTAGTTCCCGCATACCTTGTACCAAGGCCCTGGCTGCAGTCTTCACACTGTGTCAGCCAGCTCCTTTTCCTCCCTGGGTTCCCGGTTTCCATTCATTGTTTCCCTTTCCCTTCTCATCTTGGTTTAGGGCATGGTTGCCCTCTTGGTCTCCTATAGTCATTTCCTGTGAAAAATACAATTTCCCAAATGGCATTGTCTATTTTATAGTCCCATCTATTAATTTGCTGAAAGGTGGCCTCCAGGAAGATCTTCAGTTTCAGATTAGAAGGTTGCTTTAAGGGAATAATCTCAGAGGGTCTTCTAGTGTCTTTCAGAGCCGTAAGTCTGTGTGTTTCATTTCAGTTTTGTTCTTTAAGTATCACTCATTCAATGCGCAGTGGTCAGATGGTTGGTAGTGGCAGCCGGGCACCAGGAAGCTGTGGTCCTTTGTTCAATTGTGTCAATCCATTTCATTGAGGGTTTCCCTCATTTCATTGGCCTTCTCTATCCGCCATGTTCTTGCCTAGCAACTGGCCTTTCCTGGCAATGTGCTAGACACAGGAGGATGGATAAACAAACTGTGATTATATTCACACAATAAATTACTACTTAGTAATTTAAAAGGAGTTCAAATGGTGCCGTGGGTTAAGCTTTAGGCTGCTAACAGAAATAGCATCAATTTGAGCTACTCCCTGCGCTACAGAAAGAGAGGAAGCAGTCTGCTTCCACCCACCTCTACAACCTTGGACAGTTCTATTATGTTCTCTAGGGTGGCTAGGAGTAAACATCTACTCAAGGGCAGTGGGTTGACTATAAAAGAATGAGTGAATGATGCATTTTAAGGGGTACCAAAAAAAGCCCAGAATTGTGCTGGGCAGAGCCGAGCTTTCATAGTACTGTGCATTTTCCCCTGTAGGTGACCATCTAGCAACTTGCTCTGAGTTAGTGCACCCAGTGGCATCACCTCGGAAGTTTCTCTCTGTCACAGTGATTTTTTTTGTAAAAGCCGTTTCACTTGAACCTCATTTTTTGTGATAGCCAATTTAAGAGAACAGAGGGTGGCTGTGAAATTTTGTTTCCTGCTCAGGAAAATTGCTGCAGAAACTGTTGTCATATGGAACACAGCTTACAAGGACAGCACTATGAGAAAAACTTAAATGTACGAGTGGTTTTCTAGTTTCAAAAGAGGTGAAATGTTGATTCATGACAAACCTTATTCTGGACATCCATGAATTTCCCGAATGGATGAGAATGTCGACTTATAGGGCATTTGGAGTTTGTCCTACCAGGTCACACTATTAATCAAGCTTTCTATTTAGAGCTTCTGAAAAGATTGCATAAGCATATGTGATGTAGAAGAGGGGAAGAAAAAAAACGAGGGAAGCGCTGTCAGCCATCCAAACAGATGAGTTTGAAAAAAGGTTTCCAATAATGGAATCACAGATTTGACAAATGTATTAAGTGTAATGGAGAGTACTTTGAAGGTGATAAGGTTGTTTTGTAAAAAAAAAATTTTGTTAATACATAGATTTGAAATTTTTTCCAGTCTTTTTTGGGTCCCCCCTCATATCCAACATTATCTACTCCAACTATGAGTAAAAGTACTATCTCTCTGGATGACCTGGGACAAGTTTAAGGTTCAAGCCAAGTCCATTGCCAACTCATAGCCACCTTATAGAACAGATCAGAACTGCCCTATAGGTTTACTAGGGCTGCAATCTTCATGGAAGCTGACGGCACATCATTCTCTGATGGAGCAGATGGTGGAATTGTACAACTGATCTTTCAGATTGCATTTAACCACTGTGTCACCAAGACTCCTTGAGACAAAGCCAACTCACTCACTGCCATTGTGTTGATACCCATTCAGAGCAATGCTTTAAGACAAGGTACAACTTCCCCCCTGAGTTTCCAAGACGGTAACTGTTTATGGGAGACAAGGTTAGAGAACTAAAATGTACTGCAAGGACAAACACATCTTGGGTCGTTATACTTTTAAAACAAAACATTTCAGCCCTGATTGAGATGCTGGTGACAGGCTACTTTCACTCACAGCATTGAAATATCTTATGTGGGGTCAAATTTTACATTGATGGCTCTCACAGCAAATGGCTACTGTGGTGGGGGGTGAGAGTGGGGTGCAAGAGATGGTAGATGACATCAATATGTCACCTATGACTAGTCTGCTAACTCCTTGTTCCTAAACCAGAGGAACTAAATCAGAAACACACACCCTGAATCATTGAACTGAGTCAGAGACACACACCCTGAATCATTGAACTGAGTCAGAAACACACACCCTGAATCATTGAACTGAGTCAGAAACACACACCCCTGAATCATTGAACTGAGTCAGAGACACACACCCCTGAATCATTGAACTGAGTCAGAGACACACACCC